TTAGCATGAATCGCTGTGTGAGAAATAATTTCCATTGTGAAAATGCAGTGCGCTGAACAACAATTACCTTTAATAGGTATAAAAGACGTTCAGCATCTTCTGGACTGCAGCTTCTAACTGCAGGGAGGGATCTCACTACTGACTTAGAACAATAAATTGCATAAATTAAAATGGCAGCACCATCCCTGATGGTTTAGTCCAGTTATAGAAAAGTAAATGTAGATGAAAGGGTTCAACAACTGTTTTGAATATTAGAATTGCCATGTAAGATGAGGCCTATGATAAATGTTACATTTTCTGTGAGCATTCCTATAAGAACTTCAAGGAATGGTATAAAAATTTCAGATTATGGATAGTTTTGGCGTAATTTCTCCTTTGAGAGAATGTTACTTCTTGCATTCCATGTGAAGTTTGGAAGGTTGTACTCTTAAGACTAGTATTAGATCAAAACCTGAGCAATAGTTGGTCAGGCTGAAAAAAATTCAGACGTGTTTGTACAAGGGTTTCTTGTGCAACTTCTGCTGAAGACAGTGGGAGTCCTACAAATGAAAGATCTCTAGGGTGGATTTCTTCCCCTCACCCTTATTTTTTTCCCCTCCTGTCTCAAGAACACAGAAACAGTGATTCTGGTCTCACTTGTAATTTTAAACAAAATCAGATTGACCATCATTATGCTGTTACTAACATAAACCTTGTTTCTTGTATGACTAAACTCCCAATAGGCAAACACCATCTGCCTGTTGAAGGAAAAGAGAAGTCACCACTGAGAAAATATCTAACTCATTAGGAGTTGAGAAACATCGAGTCTACTACGAAAGCCACATAGCAATATCCTTAGAAATCTCTAACTCCACATTCAGTACATTTGTTTATTGAAGTTCTTCCTTTGATATTGAAGAAATTTTCGCCTGATTAACTGATGAGTTTTCAAACAAAGACCTTTTCTTCAGAACTAAATTCAGATCAGGTGCCACTGCGTGAAATTTTACTAACTTCCGTGAAACACTGTGCGGTCTTAGAAAATTATCTTACAGCTAAGAAGACAGAAATTCAGATTGTGGTAGAGCAACATAAATAATAGTGGCACGTGAGTTTACCCTTGCAGGAATAATGAGCATTGTTTACTGCCGTAAGATGTTTAAGTGATAGTTCTCCACAATATCGATAGGGACTTAGAAAAAGCTGTGACTTTTTTTTTCAGGCACTTAAATTTTGGCAAGTTCTGAAAGACACATCTTTGCTTTGGATTTTATTTACATAAATATAAACTTACCCTTTGTAAAAAGTTACTTTATCTGAAAGAATAGTTTTGTACTCTGTGGTTTAGTAAAGTACTATAATTTTGGACATTAACTCTTTTATCATCCTGCTCTAAAATGTTACTAAAAACTTATAAACCAGATAAAAACAAATACAAAGGAGCTAAGTTAGCTACTTTGAAGTACATGTAGTAGTGTTTCTTTTGCAGAATACAGCTGCTTTCTAGCTGGACTGCATAGTCATTTCAATAGTTAGGAAAGGTGGATATTTCCATTTGACTGGCGTCAGATCCGTAGGTATGGAAAGTCATCGCCTGGGGAGGTGCAAGTAGTGGTAGGATTCCTGCAGAAGAGCTGCCCAGCACCAGTTGTGGAGCCTTCCGTTTCCTTCAGCATCTCCCAAGTGAGAAGCACCATGCTGAGCTGCCTTGGATACCTTCTGTGAGATCTTAGGTATAATCGGAGTGTGTGTGATTTTGAGCCTCATCAGAGAAGTAGAACCTTTCTTTAAGCACTGACTGCAACATCTGTAAAGCAGTCTCTACCTGACAACACTGATCATCATCTGAAGAGTGCAGCGGGTATGCAGCTTAGCCACTCTTAGCCACGTGCTCACATTGATTTACAGTCTGTGATTTGATATTTTGCTGGCATTTTATGGTAGTATAGGTCCATGAAAGAACAGTAATTTCTGTTAGCAAAACATGGTGATGTTATAGGTTGATATCTCTGATTCGTGATGCTGGAGCAAATGAACACTTTAGTACAACCCTATTGTTAGTTGTCAGTGTGAATGTACATTCATCTTGATGTTTCTGAGCCAGTATTTCCAGCAGCAACTGAAAGGTCTGTATTTGACCATTAAAACTGAGAGCAAAATTACAAAGGGCTACATGGAAGGAGGAAATCAAAGCATGCAGTGATACGTGCAATCACAAAACACTTTCCAGAGATGTCCATGGCAACTGAAAGTCATAACTTACGGGATAACAAAAATCTCAAACTGTAATTCCTCTCCCCTCTCACCTAACCTTTTAATGTTCCGCAGGCTATAAATTACCGATCTCTTTCTTTCCATTAGAAGATAAGCACCTTATCAACTCTCCTCTTTTCTATCATCCTTATCACTCCAACAGGCAGTAATCATCTTTACTCTCAGGTGGTCTGATTGATACATATCTAATTAAAGGCAAAACATTTTTTCTCAACTTGCATTCAGCTTTGAAGTATGTTGCTTTGATTTCGGATCTGAAGAACAGCTTCATGTGCCTGAAAGTTCTCCTTTTTCCAACTGTACTAGTTGGTCAGATAAAATATACTACCTCTGTCCCCAAACTTTGCCTTGCCTGTGTACCAGTGTGTTCATTTATTGTTTGTGAAAAAGAGAAAACAATTTTTCATGGAACTAGTTAGAAGGTGTGTGTGAGGACTGCAGCTCTTCAGAACCTTGAAGATTAGGACAAAATGTTTAAATACAATGAGATGGAGAAGAAAAGGATTCAGTAGAGGCTAAGGTAGATAACTGGATTAGCAAGAAAAAATAATTTTAGGGTTTACCTCTTAAATGGGGATGTTTTGTATGAAAGAGGTACCAGAGGTGAGAAAGATGAAGATAGAGGCAGGAGATAGTGCCAGCATCAAATTGTTTAAAAAGCATTATTCTACTTACCATTTTAGTGACTAGCTTAGGAACATTTCTGTATAGTGAGAGAGTAGAATTCCAAAGTTGTATTTGATATAAAGAGAAAGAATCATCATTCTGATAAAAAAAAAAGGCCATCAGTTCTCACCAGTTAAGAGGAGAAAGGAGCAGAAGAAACATTATGTGCATAACACTGAAATTTCCAGGTACCTCTAGGTTGCATAGGCAGCACTTATGCAGAGATTTACTGATTTATTTTTTTTTCCCAAATGTTACAAGGGTCACATTTTCACAATGAATTGACCTGACCCATATGACACTCGCTAGTTTTATGACAACTGTATCTTTTCTTTTTTTCCTAGTCCTCTTTTCTACTAGTTCCAACGAGTTTTAAGTGTGTTATGTTCTTCGCTGTGAGGAGATGTTTGAGGAAAGGTAATGGGAAAAAAATCCACTGAAATTACCTAATTAGATTAGAGGGAAAAAAAAAAAAAATAGATCCAAGGTACTTCACCGCCCACCACTACCACCACCCTCCCACCCCTCCACCACCCCCCACCAGAGAATCCTTTTGCCCTTAAAGAACCTTTTAATAAACTTGAGGAATTTTTAGTACTTTGAATTACCAGCTGAAAGGCACTTTTTTGATGCAAATCATTTGCTTCACTGTTGTAGTGTGTGGCTGGAAAGAGGTAGGAGGTGTCCATTCAGCGCTAGGAGATGGGAAATCCCCATCGCCTAAGCAATTCGAGTTCTAAATTTGTTACCTTCTTGTAGCCTGTCTGCTGCAGGGGAATAAAGTGGTGTTATGTGGAATTTAAAGAACTTCTGTAGAGAGCCCTCCATGATCCTATTCCCTATCGTTTTGTTTAGTTGGCAGTTGTTAATAAGGTCTGTGATGGTTTGGGGTTTTTTTTTCCCAGCTAATTGCTCTTTTGATTTGGGCTTTTGGGGCTTTTTAAAGTCTGTGATAGGATTGCTGTTTATAATATGTAATAACCACAAGAATCTCATAGAGTTTTCTGAGGTCAGACTGTCACTATGCTTTTGTTTGCTTATGCTGAGCTAGTACTTGGCAGCTTGTGTAGTAGCTCAGCCATTCTCTAAATTAACAGGTTGTTCTTTGTATTTGAAGTGATTGATGTGATTGAAGTGATTAGCATGTATATGCCTGAGTAAATTACTTTGGGGGAGAGAGATTGGGATCCAAATGGAGAAAACTGGATAGGTCCAAAGACAGTTTGTTGTAAGAACCATGGTATGTTCAAGAATGTGGAAAGGCCTTAAGTGAGGATAAAATCTCAGAGCAGAAAAATGTATGGGAAAGTACAATTTTACTCTAAAATCTTTGCTAAAGAAGGTTCAAGGATGTACTTATCCGGAGGCAAAAGCCCTGGTGAAGATGCAGACATACTGAGAAAAAAAAAAATCAATTGCCAGTACGATTTATTTTTCTATGATAGTAATGTTGGGTCAGCCCTCCTGGGTTTTGGCTTCCTAAGGAACATGAGAGCCTATAGAAAAAGGATCATTTAAGTGCTTAAATTAATTTTAATAATATTGCCAAATTACTCATCTCAAACTTTTTCAAAGGACTTGGAGTCTATGTGGTTTTTTTTCTCAAGAGCTGGTGCTCCTATTTCTGTGAATCAGCAATAGTTCTCCTGAATCTTTTTGCAGGGCTTCATTATTTGGCATCATGTTGGCGTGACAGGAAAATCCTGTCCCGCACAGAATTTTGAGAGTTCACCTGCTGGTTAAAATCCCCTTGCTTGTCAGCATGTGGAAGCAGTAGATCAATTGTTTATTTAGGCTTAACTTGTACATTTACAAATACAGTCTCAAAATAAAGGACTGGCCTGATTCTTTACATCAGTATACACACAGCTTCTATTATTTTTTCCACAAGTGACACCCTAGACTTGGTAAGATAATGGGAGGACCCTGACTCATAGGTCTAAATGAAGCTGCAAAATACTGTTTTTCTCCCTTGAACTACCTTATATTTGCACATACCGCTATATCATTGTATAATACTGGCTTTTGAATGCATATGTATTACATAAAGCTAACACATTGTTCTTGATTTTGCTTTGCAGTACAGAATTGGACAGCTGTACATGATAAGCAAGCATAGCCATGAGCAGAGTGACCGAGGTGAAGGTGTGGAAGTGGTGCAGAATGAACCCTATGAAGATCCAAATCATGGCAATGGTCAGCTAACAGAAAAGCGGGTGTATCTCAACAGGCAAGTCCGGTAAAACCATTTCTCTCAGCATGGGCTGTAACAAAAATTAGCAGGGAATATTCCTGCCAGCCAATAGCCTTTCTGCTTCAAGTAGAACACGTTCCCATGAATGCATGCTGCTTCCTGCTAGCCGCAGGAAGAAGGAAGGTGGGGTGGGCCAGTGGCTTGAAATAGGGAGATTAGTTGTCATTTCTTCTAGAGTATCTTTTCCAAGAGAAAGAATTATAACTTGAAATTAAGGATGTACTGAAAATTAGAACTTCTTGTTTTCTTTTACACTTAATTATTTGTTATTCTGTTTTCCAAAATTATGGGGGGAAAAAAACAAAGAAACAAACTAAAAAGCAAAAACAACAAACACCCCACCCTACCAAAAAAACCCAACAGCAAACCACTAAAATGATTTAAGGGTTTCTCACTTCATAATAATGTCACAAAGTGCTCTGGTTTTGGTGACAAAAGATTTGCCTCAGCGAAGTTAATTGACATTATGAATGACCATTAGGCTTGTACAACAATGACTTTCTGTACCAAAATAATAAGCTTAAAGACATGATGGAAAAGAATTGCTTTTGTTTCCCAAATGTTCCATCATTTCTTAAAGTGAACTATGTGTCTCTTCCTATGGTGAAATTACACTGCTGAGGGCCAATGCCTCCACACTCAAAGACTGGAGATGTTTTCAAAAATGTGTATTTTTCTGTGTGTGTGTCCTATGAAATATATTGCTCAATCTGTTCCCATTTTTACTATGGCTGATCTAACTGAATATCGCTGCTTTTCTGATGTTCTTCTATTCCCCTGCGCCTGTTCTGTTTTATTAAACTTACGCTCTGCAGCATTTCATAGTGGGCATAGAAACACTACAGCTATTGCTTCTACATTGCAAGTTACTCCTCCACTGCAATCCTGACATACCTAACCTTAACTCAGGCTAAATTGAATCACCAGTAATGTTGCACACAAACACACAGAGTCCAATAATATATATATCTTGCCAACCTTTAATGTTATTGTGATCGTAACTCTGTTCTCTCACAGGCTAGATGCAGGACTTGGGAAAAATCAATAAATGTGTTCTTGTTGTAGAGTTTCCAGAAGTTTGGGGGTTTTATGTTTCTGGATATTTCTTTCCTTCATCTTAAAAAGAGATAAGGCTTTAAGCACTGAAGCGCATGTTCAGAATTACTGCTGTAGGGTAATTCAGAATAACTACAAGGGCTGTGTCCTAGAAAGCATGTACAAGGCATACTTGGAAAGCACACAGTTTCTGATACTGCAGGCAATGGAACAAAGGATCTCTTACTCAAAGACAGCACGAATGTTAACAAAGAATATCTGTGTGCCTACAACAACTTAGGAAGTTTACCTAAAGCTATAGTGGATGTTTGAAGTCAGGCTGGTGGAGTTTAATGATAATTGTGAATACTTGATAATCATCACCAGATTTGCTGTTTGAATCGGGTGTGGTGTCACAATACCACCAGATATTGCAGTACTATTGAAGCTTTGTGGAAAGTTTTCAGGCAACTATAGGTTTTGCTGGGAGGCCAGGATCCCTCTGGAAGGCTTCACGCAAGGAGACATGCTGCTGCACAAGATGTGCTGAGAACTTCTCCTCTGCCTGCCTTCCATGAGGAACAGGACTCCGTACAGCAGCACAGTTCTCTCCCTCATCTTTTCTTCTTCCAGGGTCCACCACCCTAATAAACTTGCTAGCTTTGCTTCACTTTATCTTGCTCTGGACTGAGCTCTCCTGAAGCAATTTGAGTTTATATATTTCAGTGATGGTTTCTTGGAAAGATTTGTGCATTATTTTAATTTATCTTTTCTTGCCTGCTAATACTTTAATAATTCTTGCAGAGGGTCTTCTTGCTTACCAATGTTTTCAGCTGGAATGCCTTTAAGAAACACTTCTTCCCTATGTGATGAAAGACTGAGCAACAAAGTGATCCACAGATACCTGTGCTGCTAAAATAGAAATATTATATTTTCTTTCTCTGAATGGACCCATGGAATAATTCATGTGTGTCTATGACTGTGACTTGCTGGCAACTCTGAGTCTAATGTGTGTTTTGCTCATAAAATTATTTGGTTTGGAGATGTGCTGTACCAGCAAAGATAGGTAGACGGGCAAATGCGCTAAAACCAACAGTAACAACAAAAATGCAAATTAGCAGCTGTATGTTAACAAAGACGTTACTGGTAAATTTTTCCAGTATCAGTGTAAACCTTAGTTACACTCAGAATTATTTTACTGCCTCTTCTCTTCTGCCAGAGCATTGTGTTCAAGTGCTGAAAGTCTGCAACCTCCGGTATTTATTATTTAGGCATCAGAGTAAAGTTTAGCAGGGGAAAGCGGGGAGCAGAGAGATAGTCATGAACAGACACTGATGGGGCTGGCAAAAATAAACAAAAGATCTGCTACAGTGAAGTCTGTTATGCAGTATGTAAAATGCTGCTTAAAAGGTTGTACACAAGAAAGGTTTATGTAAAGAAAATAATCTGGTTTTGAGCAATGTCATCAAAGAGCAAAAGTCAATGCACTTGACTTTGAATCTTTAGGTAGCGTACTAAGGCCTGCATTTTGCCTCTGGGCAAATGCAATATTTATGTGTAGCTAGATAATGGTTAAATAAGCCTTAATGATCCAAACTCTGTATTTTCCTCAGAAATTTGCTAATATGGAAGGTTAATTTACTTCCCGTACACAGTTATCTAAACATAACAGTTTCAAACATTTCTACTTGTAAAGCTGAGGTTTGAAAGCATCCGCTTGAGTTCAGTAAAGATTCAGTCTTAGGCTGGGTGATCTGCTCGACACATAGCAGACGATTTTAACTGAGTCCCTGAAGTACAGTGATATTTGTGGTCTCCAAAGGTTGGGTGACTAGTACTGCACCTTTGTTCCTGGCGGCGTCAGTGATTATAACTGATGTCATTAAGAAAGAGTTGAAAGATTAACTCTCCTGAACTTGCCTTTTTAAAATGTATGTTGGTTCATCACTTCTTTGGTACTCTGAGTGACCAGAGTTGGGAAATGGAAGACCCGAGATCTGTGGTAAAGAAAATGCTCCCACTCTCCCAGAGTATTATTTAACTACCTTTTTAATGATCTTCCCACGTGCAGTACCCACATCTTTAATTTCTTATTCTACTGCTGTTGCACCACCGCACTGTGGTGACTTGACAGACTGGGCTCTGAGCTATGACATCAGTTCCATTAATTCTCTTCACTTTTGTGATTTACTTTTCTCATCAGCAAAATAGGACTAATGCTACCTACCAGTTTCACAGGGGTGTTTTGAGTGATTTGTTAATTTTAGTGTAAAAGCTTCCTACTCAAGAGTTGGTGTTGGTAGTGTGGGAAAAACTGTGTTAGGTGAGTTGAACGTAAGGGTTTGTGTGCCAGCAGAGAATATGGAAGCAGAAGAAATAGTCTCTAAGAAGATATAATGGAATCAGGGTTGAAGTGGACTGAAATCACATGGGATTAGGACCTCTTGTTAGAGAGTGCCTCCCTGTGGTTAAGAACACTGTGAGACAGATACACCTTGTATGGTCTAACCTCCTGAGTTCATCCATGACCAAATATTTGAGGCCATAAATTCCTGAAATCTGCAACCTCAGTTTAAATCTGATCAGAGGTCATTGCACTGGCACCATATTTGCTCACTTTGAGAGGAGGACAAGCAGACTTGGTTTCCAGAAAGCTGAGACAGAATGCATAGTCCTGAGGGGAAAATGCTGTTGTAAAGTCTCGGTATTGCTGTGTCCTGTGAAACACCTGACAAAATGTGAGCACATTTGGAAGCATCTTCTTTTCTACAATACTTACAACATACTCTAATTTTATATTTTCTTTTATTTTCAGCAAACTGCCTAGCTGGGCTAGAGCGGTTGTTCCCAAAATATTTTATGTTACAGAGAAGGCTTGGAATTACTATCCTTATACAATCACAGGTAAGGAATAAAGCAGAAATCATTACTGACTTGTACTTTTTGGATAGTTTAGCTTATCTTCAGAAGCTCCAAGTTACATATTGAGCCACAGATGACAAGTTACTTTAACAACTCCTGTTGAACTGCATATATTTTTACATCTTATGTTGACTGATATCAGGAAATAAAGATTATAGATTATGGACAGGTAAAAATTGGAGTGTTGTATCTATGCAGTTTCTTCCTTGCAAAGAAAACATCAGGTGCTTAGATTCTGTGCTGACTTGTACCCTTTATTGTCTCATAGACTTTAGTCAAATATAAACCAGCAGATTATGACAGAATTTTTTTTTATTATTAATGTATGTTTACTGTAAGGATCTTGCATCATTGTTTTATTTCACATTTCTTTTTTTTTTCTTTTCCCTCATCTTTCTTTTTTTTACAAATGGACAATTGGAAATCAGAATACACAGTAAGTTTTTCTTCCTCTTTTTATTCTAAAAATAGAATAATTATGTGCAATATAGTGGTGGAATCCAAACTGATTCCTTCTTAATATAACTAAAACATAATGCAGTCAGTAGTGGGACTTTATTTTAGCTATTTGTTTAAGACATTTAAGGTTAAATTTCAGGTGTTTCTGTGGGGATCCTATAAATAATTTACCTTATTTTTTATCACTTCAAAATAATTTGATACATTTTTAGTCACTGACTGTAACAAAGAGAAGCTTCTATAAAACGGGACAAGGCTTTTAAGGTTGCAGTTATTATGTGGAGACATGAGAACAGATTTTATTTTATTTATTGTTTTATTAACTTATAAAATGCTCATCTCTGGTATAGTATCTGGGAAACTGTACGATCTGTAGACAAAATTAAACATAATCTGGGCATGGTGCCCAGAAAAATCAGCTATTCCCTCTAGCAGAGCAAAGGCAAAATATAGCACATAAATCATGAGAAAAATTGTTTAAACTGTGCTGGCCTCAATAATATACAGTAAGTGTAAGCATTCAGCAACCTTTGGAAGATGAGGAGGAGATGGTGAGGAAGTTCCAGGTGAAGGGAGCGTTCAGAAACTCCTGCCTTGATTTAGTTTGAACTTCTGACCGTAGATAAAACATAATCCACTTGTTTTTCTTAATTCTGCAGTGTTCAAAATGTTTGTGCCATTTTTTTAAAACCAGTCAAGAATACAGAGAGGAAAAAGGTTTTAATCTGATAAATGTGAAAGGGAAAAAATAAAGGGATTTAAAGGCTCAGATCTGAAAGCTGCAGACTGAGTTGAAACTTTGATGACCAGGTTTGAAAATCCAGAGTACCAAACTGTGCTTTTCATTATGTACTGTAGATACTTATTACATACTCTGCTTTGTTTCATGCCTAAAATTCATTGATTCTCAGAGGAAACCCAAATGTCCCATAATGGACAGTAGCAATGAGGGGACAGATTCTCAGCTATTTGTGTCAGAAGATATCTTCAGTAGGGCCTACCACAGTTTACATTAATGAAGGGTTTACCCTTTGATAGCAGGTTTAATCTTAGGCTGGGAAGATGACACGTACAGCGTTGCATTGGTACCTGTTACTTACGCTCTGTTTTATATCTTTTCTTTAACTGAAAGACAATTGGAATTTCTTAATGTGATTTTTTTTTTTCTTTAACTGAGAGAGACAAGTAGGAATGATTAAAGGGGTGGTAGCAGACAGAAATATACATCTGAATTTGAAATGCAATACATTGTCAAAACCAAACAGCAGTGCTGTACTCGGAATTTGAATCAGGAGGTGATCTTTATGTAATCTGATGAGACAACACCTGGAACACATTTCAGTGAAGATTTGTAGAAGGTATTCAGCTAAAGAGATGTTCAAGAGCATCAGCAAAAATTATTGCAGGGTTGAAGAGACTTGTAAAGAAAGTTTAAATCGGTCTACAAATGTAGAAGGTAGGCAAAACAGTCACTAAGTGACAGTATAACTGCCTATGGGAGTTGGGGACTAATTACTCGCCATGGTGCAAGGAAACAGAGCTAGAAATATTGGGATGAGATTAAGGAAACTGTACTTCAGACAAAAATCTAAAATATATTTTAATGGAGATGATAGACTATGAAATTATCTTCCAGGGAAATAGAGAAAGTGCCTTTGCCTCAAACTGTTGAAACTAGAACAAAAATATACCACTGGGAATAATTCCTACCCCGGTCTGGAATACTTCTCTAAATTTTTATCTTCTATATTCATTAGAGAATTCTGAAAGAAACAGTAAGCCCACGGGCGTTGCCCAAAATATGTAAGATAGTTTGGAAACCCATCTCTTAAAGATAGAGAATTCCCTCCAGAGGGTCTGTGGGACATCCTAAGAATTAAATTGAGCCTCATTTCAAGGAAAACTGATTCTAAAGGCAGGCCAGTAATCGGATAAATAAAGCATAATCTTATCGAGTCAAGTACATACTGCTATGTAGTATGTTCATACCTTACTTAACTTTCCTAAGTTCCATTCTGCATAAAGAACAAGGACCTTGAAGGGTCAGTAGTGTTATTTAAGTGAATGTTAGTGATTTGGAAGAGGCTGTGAACAACAGACTGAACCTTGCTGATAGTCTTAAGGTTTTTCAGTTGTAAAATATGAAGGCTATTGAGAAATTGCATTGAAGAACGTACACTAGCATTCAGAGATTCAATGCAGAATAATTTCATCAGTCTGGTTTTCCTGTGAAATATTATGGATTTCATAAATATGACCTTCTTAAGGATCTGAAATTAGGACATCTTCTAAGAAAAAAAGCTCAGCAGGCATTGAAAATAATTTCCAGAATATTGTTCTCTGCAATGGGTGTATAAATAGCCAAAAGTGATTGGATGCATGAAAAGAGGAATGGAAATAAGAGTGTCATGATGTTAGTACTCTATAACCTGGGTCCAGTTACGATGGCATCTCCTTTAAGGAATGGTATTTGTTACGCAGCAAACCCCTAAATTTGACAGCAAACAGCGGGAGATGACTGCTTGGTCTACTACCAAGTGTCAACAAACTTATTAATAATATGCAAAGCAAATGACGCACTTAAGATAATGAGCTTAACAGAACTATTGCACAAGTGATGCTTCTGTGGCATGTAATATGTGAAATACTGTAACATCAGGAGAGAATTTTAAAATGTACACTATGCTATTTGTGGAGGAGGGCCTCATTAAAACTGCAATACAAAAGACTTCCTATTAGGAAGATGAGACATGGGTAACGTCCTAAGAAATGCTGTATCAAAGCTTGAGCTTAGCAGAAAAAATACTTTCGAAGCTGAAGCCAAAGGAAGTCATCCAGATTTGGGGGTACTATCTAGAGAATAAAATACTCCTATAAAGTTCAAACCCTTGTTTTAGTGGCTGGGGCGTTACTTAAGAACTGTATAAGAGAGAGTCTCTTAAAGTTGCTTTGGTTTTGATCTTGTAATAGAAACCTGACAGGATATCTTGCTAAAGTAAATCTTATGTTTTATTTATAGGTTCATTTAATATTGTGATTAGGTTGATGTTAAGCTCATGTATTTGGGATACAGCTGAACCAGGAGCCCTATAAAGTAACTCTTGGGGACTCTGCTTTACAAGCAATTACAGGACTTGGGTACTGATGAGTGCTTCCTGTCGAGCTACACACGCTGTTGGGGAACGGGTGTTGCTAGCTGCTGGCTTTTAGAAAGAATTTGTTTGCTAGTCACAGGCTGGAACCTTTTTCACTTGGAGGATGCAGGAAAGATGCCTCGCAGCTCTCAACAAACCCTTATGTGCCAGCTTATCACAGCATTTGCAAATATGTATCTTCGGTGTAAAATATTTATGCTGTTCTTAGACATGTGGACAAGAATGACTGAACTCTCAGGCAGCTTTCTTATTTTTCTTTCTGAGGTTGTCCAGCTGGACTAGAAATAATTAACTAGAAAGCAAACCTGTCTCTATTGCAAACCAAGCGAAAACCGATTGCATAGAACTAAGTTTCTTTACGTGCATTGGGATATTGTTAGACAATAAGCAGCACAGAGCAAATATCCAGTTGACCTGCTCAAGTGACAGCTGAGATTCCGGACAAAAAGAGAGGAACCTCAAGCAAACAAATAGTCAGATTGCGAACATATGGTGACTCAACTATCATGCAAAAAATTCGTATGATCAAAGTATGCTGAAAAATGAGCCTAACAAAGTTTAGCTCTCAAGTTTGGAGTACAAAGAGCTAAGGAAAAATACAAATGGATTTTAAGCAAACTCTTCTGACTTCGAAGGTGCGGTTCAGGTGTTTACCAGGGATAATTTCGATTCGTTTTGCTCTCTGATCTCAACAGCTCCAGTGTTGTTAGCAATATTTCAGTTCTGGGGCTGAAATTTAAAAACAGCTGGATATTTTTTTATGTGTAATCTATGGCCAATTGTTAGTTTCACAATTATAAGTATAGAAAGCAAAATAAAGATTAAAAATGGCATGTTTTACTCCCTGCAAGGAGGAAGGGCATTCTTTCAACCTGCCGATGTCTCAAATTAATTTAGGAATAGGATATAAATTCGGAATATTTATGAAAACCAGTTATGGAACAGAAAGCAGGAGACGATTCCTTTGATGATATATCACAGTGACACTAATTCTTCTACAGCAAATGACTGAGGCAAATAAAATTATTTCATCTGGTATGTGTCAGGGCCCCAGAGTGATAGTTACTAAATGTTCCATTATTGACCTGCTGGTTTCTGATTACTTTTGAGAACAGGCATGTTATGTGCTTCGCTTAGTCAGCTGACAGTCTGTCCGTGAAGTAAATTATCTGGAAGGAATGTTTTTGTAATTGTTATTTTTATAATCATATGACTTGAGAAGGAAAAAAAGTTGTTTCAGATAAACATTGCAAAGAATCTGTAGAGCTTTTTTCCTGTGTTCTCTTTATCTGATTACCAGTGCTTGAAATTCGGATGTAACCCATCAGTCTTCAGTGCACAAACTTTTCTCCAGCTTGAGAATATGAAGAGTCTGCATCAAAAATGCAACAGAATCTGTATTGCAGGATTAGAGCCTAATACAGAGTTACTACCAAAATTCCTCCCCTCTCACCCCCAACTTGGAAGAAGGGCTGACTGGTGACATTAGCAAAACACAGATTTGGTTACTTTGGAGATTCTAGCAAAGGGGAAGACTTCTGTAGTATTTATAAAAATGAAATAGTATATTTTTAGAAAGCTGCAAACCTGTATTCTCATTTAATAGCTTAATCCCATTGAAACAGAGTAAATCAAACTGCTTGGGAGAATTCCCTTTTTCCACCACTGGCTTATTATAAAGCAATCCAAACCCCTCTCTGGTTCATGGGACTGTCATCTTCACGTGTACACACTGCTGCTCACTTCCCTTCTCTCTCAAGAAACACGTTTCTGTTCTTCTGTATCAGAGAAGGAGATCTAAGGGAAGGCAAAAACAGGGTTA